GTCTGAGACCTTTTCTTTCATCATAGACAAGATCAGGAGCCGTGTTGGAGGGTGGAGCAAAAAGTTTCTCTCTAAAGCGGGGAAGGAAATCTTGCTTAAAACCGTCGCTCAAGCACTACCCCAATATGCCATGAGTGTTTTTCTTCTTCCCATCGGCCTTTGTCATAGAATAGAAGGGATAATGAATCAGTTTTGGTGGTGTAGCAAGAGCTCAAACCCAACGGGTATTCACTGGCTATCATGGCAGCGGATGTCGACGCCAAAAAAATTTGGTGGGCTGGGCTTTAGGAGGATACGAGACTTCAACATCGCTATGATTGGCAAACAAGGTTGGAGATTGTTGGTCAACCCTGATTCTATCGTGGCAAGAGTCTTTAAGGCGAGATACTACCCAAAAGGGGATTTCCTAAATGCGGAACTTGGCTCTTCACCAAGTTTTGTATGGCGGAGTATTTTAGGAGCTCGTCGTCTTATCATTAATGGCATAGGTCGACGGATTGGAGACGGACGAGACTCTCTCGTATGGGACTACCCATGGGTCTGGGACAAGGACATGCCTTACATCACATCACCTAAACCACCTTTCTGCCCAAATTTCAAGGTTTCTTATCTTATTTATCAGGAGAACGGCTCATGGAAAATGGATGTGGTGCGAGAGTGGTTCTCAGAGCAAGACGTTGTTCGTATCCATCGTACTCCGGTGTCTCTCTCTCGCAAAGACTGCTGGTTTTGGGTGGCGGAAACACATGGAGTTTACACTGTGAAAAGCGCTTACAGGAAGCTGTGCGGGGAAGCATCTCAGGTTAGCATTTTTGACCGGTGGGGCCGACTTTGGGGGCTGCCGATTTTGCCTAAAGTAAAAAAACTGTGTTTGGAGATGTTTAAGGGGTGTCTTACCCACGGCATTAGCACTCGGAACCAAGGGAGTTGACATTGATCTAAACTGCCGCATTTGTGGTGCACCAGAGGAGTCATTAGAGCATGTTTTTCTACTTTGTCCTTTTGCTCTAAAAATTTGGAGGCTCCTTGGCAGCAATATAGCTACAGGTTTGCATAATAATTTTACTGCCTGCTTATTGTTTGCTTTCAGCTCGATGTCAACTTCTGATTTGGCAGTGTTTGCTGCGGGCATATGGGCAATCTGGAAGGCCCGAAATCATGCTTGCTGGGAATTAAAGGTAGTTAAACCTGAGATCGTGGCGGAATGGGCATGTGAAGTACGCATGGCCAGGGCAGGTGGTATGTTGCATGGTGACACGGTGTCGATGTCAACGCACCAGAGGCCACATCAGATGAGTCGGCCGGAAATAACACACTGCT